TAGGTAGTTTCAAAGCTGCTTAGCAGCCGCTAAAATTCTGCTACTTGAAACTTATGAACAAATTAACGCTTCAATTTGCTTAGATATATAGAATGATTGCCAATTTCTTATTTTAATTCATACATCAGATCCTAAACAAAAAAATATTAGTTGATTGCAAAATGTAAAATTTTATTCTCATCAGAACATGTAAAATATTTCTGTGCATATCTGAGGGTGATTGGTTTATGAGATACGGAGTGTCTGATTATTTTTTACCAGTTTCGTCAGTTGCTAATTTTTTCAAAATTTTTAATTAAGTCATTATTTAGCAAAATGGTTTTTATTTTAACATGATCGAAATACATTTCGATTTTTCATGGCTATTAGTTTTTTATGTATTTCTAGTTTCTTAAGAAAGGCCATTTTGAAAAGATCTCGAAAACGGTAATTTGTTTGGTGACTTCGCCAATTTTCAGCCAGATATAAACAGTTGCCTGTTTCAATTCACACCAATATGCAGCAAAAATATACTAACTTGAGGATTGATAAATCTTAGTTCCAGGTTATTGAATAAATAAAAACTGAGCAGTTCTATATGCTAATAATCCTCGAAAGCCACATTAAAGAGCAATGTAAACTACTATTATATGAATTGTTACAAAGAGATTATATTTAGCACCTTCTCCATTAAAAATTCAGAAGCGAGAACTTACATTTACCTTTATTTACCGCGCAATCATCTACATTTCTAACTGAATAAATATTAAGACCCAAATCATTACCTATCTTAATGAAAACACGTTATTCTCAACGCTCTTCGCAGAAATTTGGAACCAACAGAATAGTTATCAAAAAACTTAAGCGTTCGCGATTATTGTTTCACACACTGGTGAATTTTCAAATGGATCATGAGTGCAAATGGATTTTCTCATAAATTAAGCACAGCTATAAATTTGCACTTAAGAACTGTCTTTTACACTGATGAGTTTTTCAGGCTTTTAGGCCGTGGTAGAAAATAATGTTTTCCAGGCGTTTCACAAGCACGTCGGCTTGAAACTACGTCTGAGGGTGCAAACCACTCGTGCTTGCGAAACGTCGGAAGTAAATTATTTACCACATCATTCATCAGCGTAAAACGATGTTTGTTTAAGTATGGGAAAAATGTACAGATTTAATGAATTTATGAGAAGATCCCTTTGAACTAAAACATGAATATTTTAGAATATCATTTCAGGCAAGTATCGATTTAATCGTTGATTTGTTCAAACATTTGTAACGTTTTTTAGCCACTTTTCCTTCTAACCGTTTTCACCCTTAAAAGTAAATTACGAGTTATTACCACTACCATTCAAGGAAATGCGTTTTACGGCGTTTGCATAGCAAATAAATATTTGCTTAAACATTACAATAGGAAGCGCACATTCGAAGAAAACAATTAAATAAAATTGTCTTCCATAATCCATTGACGTTGGTCCAATATTAAACCAAAAAACACGGCAAATATTTAACCAATCATTTATTATGAATAACATCACTTTTCAATTAATATCAGCTCTCGCTTTGGAAACTTACAAGTATCTTGTAATTACTTAGAATAGCTCTTAGAAGTAATTAGTAAAAATAAATAGTGAAATCATAGATTTCATTTCGCTATCAACCCAACACCATTAATAACTATAAGCACGACTCCATATAAGGCGCACGTGCCTGAAAGAACAAAACTTAAATTTCTACACTAATTACTAAAAACCAAATGGGGAAAAATTGCATTTTCATATAGATGAAATACAACTCATTCCGTCTTTTTCTTCTGCATCTTCTTCAAAACCCATTGAGGGATTCTTTTTTCAATTTCTTCTTTTAGCTGTCGGTAAACCATGACTAGCAATACGGGTATGGCTAGAAGTTCATTGTGGAACAAATACAACCAACACGCAACAGCAAACATAGCCAGATCAGTCAACCAATCAACTGCTGATCGGACTTTTACTTCGGCTTGAGCTCTTAACTCATTGTGTTTTTCTGGATCTGTGGAAGGCCCTGGGCCTGTGTAACTTTGAAAGGAATCAAGAAATCCTGATGTTTGGGTCATTATTTCCTTTAACATGGGCCTGCGCCTGACCTCAAGATTCTTAGATGGGCTGCTCTTTCCCTTTCTCACAGGAGAAGGAGATGTTTTCCTGGGTCTATACTGTGGATCATCTCTAAGAGAACGGTTATTCCAATTTTCAGTTCTAGCTGGGGATAAAGCGGCGTTTCGCGTAATACTAGTGCCTCGTTTCGATGGCGATTTTGAGCGAGTGACCGATCGACGACTTTTGGGATTTGGAGAGGATTGCCTGGTTGATTGGGTTTGAGTACTCGTCCCTTGATTCGCTCTTTGTGGAGAACTTGCAAAGTTGCCCAACTGAATTCCCACTCCACTATCTCGCCGAGGCGATGAAGTGCTGATTGTCTTCGGCTTTTCTTTCAACACTTGCCCAACATCACTTAGCCTACGGGGCTGAGAGCTTTGAGTCGCTACCGGAGGCTTTGCTGGAGGAAGTGAACTTTGCCCAACACTTTCAAGTTTTTTGAAATTTTCATTGCTCTCTTCACTTGGACGCCTCATAGGAGATCTAAATATGGGGACCGAATCGTAGTGATCAGTGAAACTACTTCGCCTATACCCAGAAACACTCTGGTACCCACTATCTTGACTAAGATTTTCCTTTGAAGGAGTCTGTTCTTTGCTGCTATTTTCTTCCTCTTGAGGTGTCTCGCCCGAGTCTGCGGCACGTTTCAACTCTTCCCTATCCAAGAAAGGGTTGCTTCTTCTTCTTTGCCCGATACTCCTGACTATATGATCATAATGGTCTGCCACCGCCTTGGCTTCCTCATCAGCCTTCTTCCTGCTGAGAAGATTATTTGGTATTACTATGCTAGCAGCAGTCATTCCTGAGATTTGTGCCACAGCACTCACACTGGGAAGAGTTGAGTTACTTTTCGTTTTCTTCGAAATTTTTGGCTCTTTTTTAGGAAGCAAACTTTGCGCAGTGGTTAGCGAAAATGAGCGTTTCCTAACTTGTTTAAGTTGGTCATCGCTTTCATCGCCCGAAGATGATATCAGTGGTGGCAAAACAGGAACAGCCAAAGATTTCGATCTATTTCTCTGCAATATTATGTCAGGTCTAGGCGATAGTGCTCTTGGAGCTTTAGTGGGCGACGATGGAGGAGAAACGGCAGGAGAAACGTTTGGAGACACTAATGGGGAGTCGGTTTTCTTGAGAATCGGTTTGGGTACGAAATTCGGATCTGGCAGTTCTTTCTTTTTATTTAGAATTTCAAACGGTTCTTCTAGAATATTTTGCCTTATTCTTAAGGCGCCTAGTCCTCCTGGGGGACGATATGTGTCTTCTTCAATCGAAGCTTGATCGATCTGCACATGCCGGGTCTTGTTTACTTCAGATTTAAACCGCTCCACTTCTGACTCGGAGTCAGTTTCACTTTCCGATAAACTTTCTTCGTACTCATCCATCCACCTTTCTTCTTCTGTTATTGTTACTGGCTTCCGCTCAAAACTGGCCTGTGAGTATGTCTTTTTGCGAGCCCTCGCTCGTTCAAACTCCTGATCCGTTAGCTCTTCAGACGTGCTTGGCTCACTAAACATCAACTCTCGCTTCATGTTTAACGACGGCAGGGCCCTTTTCAGATTATTTCCCGCTAGGGTTTCCACCTCCGAAGTACTCTTCAAACTGTGTCTTTTATGAGCCCATTTCTGCTGCTGCCTGACGGTGCCTGCAGACATTTTCCGTCTCAACGAATGTCTTCTATCTAGTCCCACAATATCGTCACTATCCTGGGAATTAATCCGAATTTTCGGTATCTCATAGCTAGGACGCCTTTCAGAGTTTTGAGCCCTGATTCGTTCTAGCTCACGCTCTTCGGCTTCGGCAGCTTCAAAGAATCTCATCATCGTTCTTTCATGCAGAAGCTCAGTTGAGCTGGCCGAATTTTTAAGGGGCAGAAAAATGAGGGGTTCCATGGTGGAAAGTTCAGGTGCTGATAGAGATAGAGGTGGTGCAACTGGACTGTCATCAAAATTAAACACATTCGACTGATCTAGAACATGACGTTATTTTAAATGTGAATAATAGAGATTTAAATTTATTTTAATGTAAAAAAACTTTAATGGCAATTGTAAAGTTGCAGTCGAACCAAAGCGAAAAGAGTTACAGGGAGTTCCCCTTTAAATTATCGGGTAAAAAGATCAATAAATGGAAAAATACTGCGACTAAATTCAATTCCAATCTGCTTGATATCGACCTGTAATTTATGTATAAAATTCACCAAAAACTTTGTGGACCCAGTATTAAATGCAATCCGACCAAATTTTCAGGAGAAAAGAATGTTAGACGTGTTTCTTTTGCCCTGAAGATTAAAATGAAACTTAAGGTGAGGAGAAGCTCACGTATTCAAATACCGAATTGAAAAAAATCGTTTTTGTGAAATTTAAATTCATTCTATTATAATGGAGAAATAAACGCAACAAATAGAAAAATATTGCACTCGATACACGCTACTTAAGCAAAAGCATTATCAGACGCTTAAAGCAAAATTTAAAAATAGCATCCAATTCGAGTTGAACTTTCTAAGAGCAATTTGTTTTGCCCATATGAATCAAGTGCCTATAAAATGTTTTTGATTTGCAACCCAAACATAAAAGCATAAAAATACCATGTAAATATTTACCTTGATTATTTTCATCAGAATAAAGCACCAACATGAATTCTGAGCTGCCCGAAACTGTTGCACTGTGCTCCCTTATCAATTTCTTCCTCCTTTCTGGACTTGTATTTTTCTTGGGCTCCACCACTACAGGAGTGAGCGCCTCTGCTGGTGACTCAATTTTCACTTTATACACCACGTGATCAACTTTAGGTTCGGGTTTTTCTATTTTATTCCATATTTTTTCCATATTGCTTGTTAAAGAGTCCCGCCTCATATTCTTGGGCATTCTTAAGTCTGGAGAGCCATAGGCCAAATCTCTGGCCAAGGAGGAGCGATCGAAAATATTTTTGTTGAATTGAGCTGATACGTCCTTACGAGGAAGCATTGGCGATGCCTCTGGGGTTTGATGTTGGCTTTTGCTTTTTGTTCTTTTAGGGCGAGTGGGTGGAGACTGGGGAATTGAGTTATTAGCATGTGAGGCTACTTCCACTCTGGTGGACGAGAGTGAGCGAGGTTTGTTGCGCCTCTTTGCAGTTGGAGATGTTAACTCCTCAAAAAAGTCCTGGGGTTGATTGCGACCATGCGGTGGAGGATGCGTTAATCCTCTCTTGAGATCCGGGATGAAGACCACCTCAGATTCCTCGCTTGGATCGCTCACTCCATAAGGGCTCTCCGCCTTAATGCGAAACTTATACTCGCTGCCTTCTATAAGATCACCAAGTCTTGTGGTGAGTTGGCGACTAGTGGCAGCTTTAAGCCAGACATTCCACCCCAACCTGTAGTACTCCACAATGTAGTTTCCAATTTTGCAACCTCCATCGTCTTGAGGCGAAGTCCAGGATAAAGTAACCGATCTGCCTAGAGTCATTACCACTCGAGCTTTTCCTGGAATCGAAGAAACACCTTCTTATTTTATAAGGACACTGCCACATTGACCAAAGGATCCGGCTTACCTGGTGGAGAGGGTTTGTCCGTTACGGTGACTAAAAACGATGCAGTTTCTTCCCCTAATTTGTTTACAGCCTTGACTTGATATTCTCCTCGATCGCTTCGTTGAGCGTCTGCGATTTTAAGCGAAAGCGATTTGTCGGTATAGTCGATTTCGTATCTATCATTGTTCTGGAGGGATTCGCCATTATGGCTCCAGAACACTAAAGGGTTTGGCCTTCCTACCACGGTCACTTTCAATCGGATTATCTCACCTGGAAAAATTATCATCATCAGTTTTAGCATTTTTTAGATTAATTATCGGGATATTAAGTGCCGTTCCATGGATCTGTTACCGGAATTTAAAAAACAGAAAAGACCGAAGATGTTATTGTTTTAGATGCAATAAAGGGAACGTCCTTACAAATACTTCAAGATTTTGCAAAACCCAGAAATATCAATCAAGAGGTTGTTTCTTTGGATTCGTCAACTTCTTCAAAATTTCTTCACTTCAAAAAGACTCAAAATTTTTGTTAAACACTAAGCAGTTTTGTGCCAAACTTCTGCGGTTGGTTGACGAGTTTATAAAAAAAGCAAGTTACCCATATAGGAAAGATATCTATTTTAAGTTTAAGGAAGAAAACCTGCTCAAACCACACTCTGCCAAACATTCAATCGTGTTTATCAACGCTTTTTTCAATCAAAATAAGTTCAGTTTATTCAACTAAATGCTACTGCATTGGAACATTCAAATTTGAAACAACCAGGAAGAAATTAAGTAGTTGTTTGCGGTTTTTCCTGGTAAAATAAATTTTGATTGTGAAACAAATAATAAATACATTTACATTATTTTATTGGACTCAATAATATTAGTAACAAAAACTGGTGATAATGCATAGAAAACAAGTCGAAACATAAGTAGTCTGTTTAAATACTTGTAAAATTAAAATAAATTTGTAAAAAATATTGAATCAATCAAGAATATAAATAGCAAATTCTTTGGATTCCAAAATCACTAAAAAGAGATGTAGTGACAAAAACTGTAGCAATATGTTCTAGAATTAGTTCTCACTTTAAGGCGGTTGGAGATACGAAACGTTGCGATTGCAAAAAGCAATGGAAGGAAGTCCGAAATTAAATAAATTGATTGAAACGTTACGGCTTATTAGAAGGAATAATTAGAAATAATTTACATGGCAACTATATATTAGGATCGCCCCAATTTCCATAAAAGCTTCATTAGCCGCACAAAAGACTCAAATCCGGTCACAAAAGAACCAAGAGCTAAGTACATACAACTCAGCTAAAAGTTCTTCACCTTTACATCAGGAATAATACTTTCCAAACTTACCCAGCTCGAATAAAAGTCCTTCTTCGTAATTTCGTGGAAGTCGAATACTTGGAGGAGCTTCCACAGTAAGTCGACTTTTAGAAGAAACATGTCCAGCTCTATTTGTGGCTGTACACTTGATTTCGCCTTCATCAGACAATGAGGTCTGGTGGATCGTGAGGACGCTTCGATCATGCTCGGTGAGGACTCGGATTCGTCTGCTGCTGAATATTTCGAAACCATCTTTAAACCAACATACCTGCAGATAATCAAAATTATGGAATATTGAAGTAAAAAATCGAATGCTTTAGCTTCCTATTCGCCTGTTTAATTACTGCCTGTCTTATAAATTTGTGCAAAAAAATACTAGCAATTGACAGCAGAACTTTAAGCCCTATGTTTTTGTAGAAAGTTTGAAAATAAAATTGAAAAACGACGCTTTTTCCAAATTTTTTGAAGCAAAACCATATTAGTGAGTAAACAGTAGGAGATACGTTAGCCGCCTAATTATCTAGAATCATACGGTCAAGAAGTAAAAACAGGGCTGCATTAATCGATTTAATTCCTTTCCTTCATGTACAGTTGATGATGATGATGATGAGATTGATGAAAGTGGGGCGAAAACACAGTAGAACAAAACTATTTAAATGACATTACTGAAAGTTTAGAAAACCGACAAAACAAACTTATTACTTTATCCTTGTCAAATTATTATTTTTTTCAACATAAATTAATCAGTTGGCACCAAGTTCGGGTTTTCCGGTGGCCAAACACTCGGTTTCGAAAGATCTATCGATTTTTTCAATAAAAACATTAAATCCAACTTTCAAAGTTACTAGCTAATAAAAATTTCTTCCATCTTAGAACCAGTTATTACCTTTGGGGCAGGCTGACCCAAAAAGTGAACCACAAATTCGCATTTTTCGTTTTCCAGTGCAACAGTTTCGCTAACTTCCTGAGTGAATTTCGGTGCCGTTACTGCTGATCGGTGTAACGTTACAGTGATCGGTTCGGATACTTCCGAAGGATTCGAGTATCCGACTGCATTTTCGGAACTCACTCGAAACTGATATCGCCATCTGAAGCAAATTGGGCATGTTATTTGTTTTTAGTTTTTCTCCTGTCCTGGCTTAGACTACCCTGGTTCTAGTCCACTAAGGGTGATTTCTGGGAATGGAACCGGTAAGGGGGTGGCGCGCACCCAATGTGGCGAACCCACTCGACGATGTTCCACCAAGTAGCCGGTGATCGGAGAACCTCCATCGTTAACTGGCCGAGTCCATCTGAGACTCACCAAGTCTGGAGTTCCCTCACTTTCTGGAAGGAGTTCTGGTTTGCCTGGCGGCCCTGATCGATCTAAGACAGAAGCATGCAGCTAATTCTTGCTTATAGACCTGCACTTCGTGTTGTTGAGAAACTTGTTAATAATTAACCATGAACCATGTAAAGGTTAACTTGGGACAGTTTTTGCAGTCACGATTTCATTCAAAAACATGTAACAGCAAGAACGTGGACAGTATTCCAAAACATGTAACAATATGAGTGCTAGGAAATAATTTACTTTACCTGATTACCAAATGGGTAACTAGTGGAACATATCTGCGGAATTATACAAAAAATTCTGGTTTTTTCCAGGACCAAAGAACTAACTTTTCGCAAGTTTCTAATAATAGTTGAAAATTTGTCTGCAGTTAACCATTTATTAACAAATGTATTATTTTGCTCCCATTTTTATCATTCTTTACTTTGATATACCAACTGAAACATGCGAGTGAAGCAAAAAATTAATATTTCTGTGATTAATTGGTAAAATAGTTAATTTAAAAAAATTAAGGCAAGCTTCCTTAAGACTTTACCTGTTGAAATTCTACTCGACAAAATTAACCAGTAGGTAGGTTAATTAATCAGTATAGTGTTCAAGGGTTAATGAAATATGACATTGAAAAAATATTAAACTACATATGGTCGACGTGACAAGAAACATAGATGTAAGTAAACCAAACCAGAGATTATACAAGGAGAAACAGTTATATTAAATTATTATATTTTCATTTACCTACGTCAACACTTTGGTCTAGTCCTTTTCCAAAGCAGAGTCCTATGTTAAGCAAAACAAATTAAGGTGCAAATTACTGAAAGCCTTTTAAGTGATTTCCTACAGTTAAAACATGAATAACAAATAAGAAACTTAAATTAATAATATTGGGACTATTTCGCGCTTGATTATGTAGCTCTTCTCAATTTCAGATTTTTTTTTCGTTTGCTGTTCAGTTATTTTTCCTTTCATCTCCTGTTATGAAAATGTAGTACATAAATACTATTTATTGTTTAGTTTTTGATGTTATTTTTTTTGGTCTCCTTAACTGATGGAAATTAATAATTAATAACTGCATATTTATAGATACAAATTAACCAAAAAGTAGATTTTTAATAGGTAGAAGCAACAAACATGTAATTTAAAAAAATCGGCAAATTAAATTTTTTAACAGGATTTTAAGATTTTAAAACATCTATTAAATAAAACTGAATTTCCTGAATTACTTCTTACAAATTAATGAGCAGAATTACCTTAGACGAGTAAAAAAATAACAACTATTTGTAAAGGTTTTCTAAATGATTTATATTTTTAAGTTCAAAAATTTTCCACCTGTAAAAGTTGATGTAACTATTTAGAAAAAGTACCAAGTGAAAAACTCATTTGTTGCTTTTAACATAACAGTCACGTTTTTTATCTTGGAACTGTATGGGGTTAGCCGAATCATTTCGCGAATACATTTATACAGGGTTATTCACGCTATACGGCACGCAATTTTGCGGCTAAACCGTTTAATTTTTAAAAAGTATTATTTTATGAATTGTCCGACGCCTACCGAGCGCACGTTTTAAACATATTTTTGTAATGTACAGGGTGTCCCAAAAGCTCTAAAGGTATCAAAGTTGCGTTTTTTAAAATGGAATGTCCTGTCTATTATTGCATTTTTGGATTCGCTGAACACAATAAGTGTCTGTTTTAATAAGGTTTATAATACCTAAATCTTAAGGTTTTTTAAATAACACGAATTTAATCAAAATCTAATCTAATTTTTACGTTTTAATTACTTTAGAAGTGTTTAAGTCATGTAGGCGTAATTTATAGTGAAGTGTAACAAGATATAATATTTTAAATCCCAATGATAATAAACTTACAATGTTATACAAGGTGTCCACAAATTTACGCTAATCAAATAAGAACTTTAAGTGGCTCTAACTTTATTAATTTAAATACAACCCCATATTTTTTAACTTACCAGGAAATGCAATTTTTAATTACCTATCGAATGGTATTAGGATGTCAATAGCTAAGTTTTTGCCTTTTTACAAAATACGTCAAATAGTCGTTCTGTGCACCATTTGCTGTTGTTTAATTTAAGGTTCCGATGTATCTAAGTTGCCTATGCCATTTACACATGTCAAATCATTTATTTTATTTCTCAGTTTAGACTGCAAAGTCTCTTTTTGATAGCTAGAGTGGTATTGTTTTTTGTAATTGTAGACGTGTTGGTCGTTATTTTAATATTATTATTGTGTTGCCAAGTGAAAATGAAGAATTATCCAAGAGAAGAGCGTATTGACATGATTTTCACCCTTGGAGAATGTCATAAAAATTGTTTATTGGCTTCTTGAGTTTATGCTCAAAAGTTTCCTGAAAGAAA